AAAAAACAACAACAACAACAACAACAACAACAACTGCTAAAAAAACAAAGAAAAGAAAGTGCTCTTCTCACAGATGGTGTCTCCTCCAGGCGGGGTGTCAGATGTTGGGGCATGATTCATTGACCATGGTTGTGGCAGTCAAGATGACTGCATGTGAGTAGGCACACGGACCATATTCATTGACGGTAGTCTAAGGCTTCCTTGAAATAGGGTGCAGTCGGTTGTTCTGACAGAAGTTCTCTTTGGCAAAGGAGGGCAAGAGTAACTTCATACACCATTTGCTGTAGGCGAGGGGATCGAACCCTCCCAAACACCTCCCAAACCACAATCAATTTCCAGCGATGAAGTCATCCGTCTTTGCCTTCGCCGTAAGTGAAACGTGTGTGATTTCACGAACCAAAAAACTTGGGGCCTCGTTCGATACCACTACAAAACCCTTACATGTAAGGTTTTCATCGTTCCACCCCTCCCTAATCATGAAGAAAAAGAAGTCTAACTTGTTTTCACATTCGCGGCCGTAAGGGCGGTCACTACAAAAGTAAGGACCGCCAAGCCAAAACGGACCTTAACGTAAGGATGCCCGTGGAGGTGACTTGAAAGTAGGGGGTTGCACCCTTACATCCACGAACAAACCGTTTTTTTTTTTTTTTTTCCCGATCATGTGTTTGGTTGCCGTTCCTGGTCCAACGACAGTCTTGTCAGCTAGACCATGGGACAGCAGTCCCACAACAACCTCCAACGGTCGTGCGGTGCCATTGCCGTTGCCCCTGCATTCCCTCCACTAGGGTGTTTTGGCTGTCGTTTGAAGGCGCCCGTTGCACGGATCCGAGGCGGGTGAGATGATCGTTGGCGGGGACATTCGAATTCGAGCGCGGGATGTCGACAGCGCCCATCGGTCTTTGCGCCCTTCCTCTGTCGGCCATCACATGTGCCATTCGTCCAGTTCAATAGGTGCCAACTCCATTCCTTGTACTTTACGGGATGAGCACATGACTGACATGGTGAGAAATGCCGACGTGGCGAGAAGCGTAAAGCGTAAAGCGTAAAGCGGCTCTATTCTTTTTCCTGGTTCGAGCGTTGACATTGGTGATCATTCTGCACGTGTGGCGACTGGCCGGCAATTGCAGCCGACGTGGAAGGAGGAGGGGTGCGAAGAAGCTTCGACAGGCTGCTTCGGTCAGCACCGGCATAGGCGATGGATACAGACTTGGAAGGGGGGCAGAGGGGTATGAGATGGGTAGGGGGGGCTATGGAGTTGGGAGTGGGGTGGAGCAAAGCGTGCATTCGCCATCAGGAAAGGAGTGTCCGACAGACCAGACAAGGTGATGACGTCTACCAATGCCTGGGCTATGCGGCCCCCCTCCTCCCCTTTCTCCTCCCCTTTCCCCTCCCACCCCCCCGCTGTAGTCCACTAGCCATGTATGTGGAGTAGTGTTTAAGGTGTGTGACTGTCAGGCATCGTGGATTTGGCAGAAAATCGGCGGTAGCCTGTTTTTGTGAATTAAGCCCGGGAAAATGATGTTTTCTTTTGC